GCAGGGAAAACCATCTGCAAGGCTGCCCCTGGGGATGGAGCACTTCTGGCATCCAGAACAGAACATGGAAATCACACCCACCGTGACATCAGCGATGATTTATGAGGCTTTGTTTCAAGGATCTGGAAAATGCGCTTGCAAGAAAGGCAAATCGAAAGCAAAGGGTGAAGYTTGGATTGGAAGCCACTGCTCTGACGTTATCACAAAGGAAGGCAAAACCAGACAGAAGTGAAATAAAACACTTCACATCACTGAGCTGGTTTCGCCCAGCTCRAAGTGAACGCCTGGATTTACTTTAGCTGGACATAATTTCAAGGTATTGACACCTGCTCGATGAAACTGCTGCACAAAAAGCAGAACACAGCAAAACTCACCCAGCACCACAGTGAATCCAAAGCCTCTGTTTTTTTTCCAGCTGAAAGGCCAGGGCAGGAAACCCACGCCTACACCGGACTCACACCCCCAACACTCGCATGCTTAACAGTAATAAGAGCACTGAACCTCAGCCAGTGTATCCAATTTAATGACTCTGCTTCTACTGTTTCTGGCCAGCCCTGAGCTCTTGCTYTCCTAATCCAGGCTGAGTGATAGAGGAGTCATTCACAGTGGGTCTGGTTGTGTCTTATTTACTCTGGATGCTCTGCCATTAGGGTTTTAATTCAATCTCAGTCAGTTAAGTGCCATTGTGTACTAATGACACACAGCTCCATAATCATGTTTTGCCTGATTATGGAGATTTGGACAAGTAGATGCTGGCAAATTAACCTTGTGAGTGCTGCCTCTCCATGGGAAGAAGCAGCAGCATAAATCCCAGCTTGTTACAGGGTTTTGTGTTGAAGGCACTGTGATCACGGCTTCAAAGAGCTTGCAAGAGGCCCCGAAGGGGCCAAGATTCAGAGAAGTTTTAATCTTACCCTAAAGAAGCTTTGAATTCTTCACTAACCMCTGCAGCAGCCCTCGTGTTCCCAGTGCAGCTGCCCATGGTTCCCTTCTGCTCCAGGGCTCACCTTATTCCCCTCATCTCCCAACACACCTCAGACTGACAGCCACAAGACACCAGAAAAGGGCACCAAAAAGTCAGAAAGTGGAGGTGGGAATGCATGTGGTACCACTGAGACCAGGCAAACAAGGCATGCAGAAGAGATCAGGCTGCTTCCTGACCAGTCCTAAGCTGAAGTTTGCATTTCAGGGCTTGGC